AAAAGAGTTCACAACTGCATGATATTGAAAATAAATGGCAACATTTAAAATATTTATATAACTGTATTCAATAGTTTTTAAATTGAAAAAAATTCTTTATAACATGTGGGTGTATTTATGACATACGAGTATATTGTGATACCACCTAAATGGTATGTTTTATGTATACAAACTTCTTGTGACATTGAAATAAAAATATTACTTATGTGTTATAATTAATGTTTCAAGTTTTTATTGTTTTGTTTTTTTTTTTACTATTTTTTAGTCATCATACCCATTTCACGTTTTATTGCAATTTTTCTAAATTTTAATAAACTCATTTGTGAAAAATTGTTTAAACAGTAGGAAGTTGTAATTAGGAAAAGCAAAAAAAAAAGAAAAATATTGTACAAATAAGTATAAAGGAAAGAAGTAAATTTTGTATGCTTCAAGGTATAATTGAAAAATTTTAATTTATTTACGTACATATATGCACATATATAGTATGTAAGTATAAATTGTGTATGTAAATATATAATAGGAACATTTGAACAATACTTGATTTGTGAACATTTAAAAATTATAATGGATGGTAAATGGGTAAAATATTTAATGGAATGAATAAATTTTTTGTTAATCTTATGTTATGTTGCAGTTAATTGTGTAGATTTGCTTAGATCACGGAAACACTGTGTATTTATTAATTAAATTGAAGCAAAATTTTGCTTAAAATCCGATCGGGGAAACAAAATGTTTGTATTTATGTTTTCCTTGTGAGTTTTGGTTAAGAAAATCACGATGACAGTAATTATTCTAGAAAGATGGTAAAATAATATTTCTAGGAAACAATGACAATAAAAACGTAGCAGAATAAGAATGTCACAATAATATACAAGACAGAGAAAATAATAATGATTGGTACACAATCCTTACGGTGGCAATTAACAAATCTAATTTTTTGCATTACAATTCTTATTAAAATTATTAAATAAAAACTATTTTAATATTTTTTTCAAAATGAAAATCTTCTCAATTAATAATTTAGAATTTTCGATACGTTATATAAAATAAACCAACCTTTTTGGGAGTCTTGTCTTAATTGCAATAAAAGAACATGTTTAAGCCTTAATGTGCCTATCTATATGTTCTCAAAAATCAAGTAAAAACATTTTATGTATATATATATACGCAAATTAAGTAGGCACATAAGTAATATACTTATATTTTTATTCACACAAGTATATATTATTTTACTCGCCATTCTATATCAATATTTTTGGAGAATGAAAGTAACATTTCAATGCTAATCAAATAAATTTTACTTTTATTTCGGCAAAAAAGTGAATTTATTGTTAAGAGCTTATTGAGGAAAATAAATTGATTTCTTAAATTTAATCACAATATATTGGAAATAACAAAGGTTCTGAGATTAATATATTTTATTTATTGATATTTCCAAATTCCAAGATTAAAAATGAATATAAATTAAATTCTTAAAAAAAAATCCGTATTTCAAGGTATTTTTCCAAGTATTTTTATTAACACAAAAATCATTTTAAAATTTTTGCATCTCATCTTTTAAATGTATTCTGAATTCTATATAGGTTCATCGCATATCTTATCATAAATGTGTTTTTTTTTTTTATAAATTACTTTAAAACAAATTCCAATTTTTATGTGTATATGCTTAAATATTAAAATTTATCCTTTTTCAAGAATTTATTCGGAAATTTACATTTATTATTTAAATACGTAAAAGTATTGGTATAAGTATTTCATAGTAAAACAAAATAAATGAGCATAAATTTAAAACAAATTTTATTAAAATTCTTGAACATACGAATTGAATAATATATTTTTTTTATATATTGGAAATCAAATATTTTGTATAAATAATTTTGAATGTTAAACATTTTTTCTTCTAAAAATTTTCAAATTAATTATTCGTAATTTATAAACGGGACCCACTTATGTAAACTTTATTTTAATAAAAAAGAAAGAAAGGACGAAATTAAAATTACCAATTCGTTCTGATCAAATATTGAATAAAATTATACTTTCAAGCACGTGCGAATCATTTTTTGTTCCCTATATGTTAGTATATATACGAGTAGCTTTGACAACACTATATAAATAAATAACCACGGGACTACACGAGTAAGAACTACACTCTAAAGATTGAATGTTAAAAGATTTTTTATTAGTATTTAATATTTTGGAGTTGTAAGCATTATAATTATTTTGAGAGGTGTTAAATAAATCGAATAACAAATTCAAAAATTTTAAAGAAATCTATACAAAAAACGGACTATTAGCTGTCAAATTACATTGTTTATCTTTCAAATCAGAGACATAATTTTTTGACTTTTATTATCTTAAAATATAAGAGAAATAATTAATAAAAAAAGAGAATGTAAGTATGTATATAGGAAATTCAGGCATTAGTAAAGAACAAGAAGTTGCAAAGATAAGAATACAGACAATGCAGATTTGTCACATTGGAATAGCATTTATAGGAGCACGTAAAAATAGTATCCAACTCTGACATTTGGATTAGATTAACCTTTATATTGTGTAGTTTTTGACTTCGCGGCATGAGTATTTTCGTGACTATCTAAAACAAAAAGAAAAGAACCTTGAAGATTCTTTATGCATATTTCGAGTATAACAGAGTAGGGCAAGAATTGAGATTATATAAGAAGTAAATCACCAGAACAAATCATTTAAATAATATTGGAGAACGAGAATAAGCGGAGAGTGTCAACGAAACATCTATGGACATCAGTACCGCCCGGTTTGTACTTACAATGGGCTGGTTGTGATTTAGTAGGTAAAACTACAAAAAATTTACACTGTTCCGATTCCATCAACCGTCAATGTCCTAACATTATTTGCTCGTGTCAAATCCTATTAAAATACAATATGTATTAGCTATTTTACTTTTTCACTTTTGCTTTTTCTAATACTAATATATTAAAAAAAAAAAATCACCAAATTTAGAAAAAATAAAATTGCGTCATTTATTACTTATATATAAGGATAAATTATTGTATATATACACATATGTGTATTGTATATATGTATACATAACATATTTAATACTATCATTTGTGTTATATAAGAAGCAGTTATTAGGTTTCCGTTTTAAAACCAAAACAAAAAAGAAAAGAGAAAAATAAAGAAACAGACAAGAAAGAATAAAAGGTAAGGAGATGAAGAACGAAATAACAATCAAATATCATATCCTTAAATCCTTAATGGTATGCGTACATATATATGTGTGGTGTTAAGGGTAAAATCGAAAAATAATCCTTTGAGAGTATACTTTTTTTTTGTGCTGTAATTTTTAACAGCATACGTATGCATAAATGCGTATTGGATAACTTTCACATATTGTAAATAGTATATCATTAGTGAATGTAGGTTTTTAAGTTAAAGTTTCAAAAGGGGGTAATTCTATTACTTTATGAAATGTTACCCTAAAATTAATTATAGATATTTAGACTTACGTATATTATGTATGTACATACATATGAAAAAAAAAGAAATGGTTTCACATTGTCTGTCTTTCAAAATTATGATACTGTTGTGTAAGAATGATTAAGAAGTCTATTACAATTATATTCCAACTCGTATACACCATATAATAGAGTATACTCGTATAGTCTTATACAATTTTATATTAATAATTCCTATAGAGTGAGTGTATGTTCATGCGGGAATTCACAGTAAAATATTTAATATTATAAATGTTAATGTAGCAATATACAAACATTATATAACTTTATCCTTTTTCAAATGTATAAATTCTGATTAAATAGATAAGTATATTATATTTATTATGTGAGAAAGTTAAAATTATTTGAACAAAAACAAAATAATAGAAAGGAAGAAATTAAGGAACAAAGAAAAAAAAAACGAATAATTTGTTCTTTTAGTTTATAGCGTAGAAATTTTTTAACAAGGTAATTCATATTTTGGTATTATAGGTGAGTTAAATATATATGTATGTAGGTATATGTAACCGCGGTGAGACAAAAATGTGTCTTACTCTCGATAATTAAAAATTTAAAAAAAATTTTTCAATGTTTTTCAATGTTAAAAGATATTTACTCTTCATTGATTGTTATGTAAAATTACTACTGAATTAGTAAAAATTAATGAATAATGTAATAAGTTCAATATTAGTACATATAGTAAACATATTGGACGGTAATAAAAACTTAGACGATCAATTAAAATTACCCGATGGATTACCCGATTGATCTTAATATTCTAAAGAGTATTATTAATAAGGTGAACGAATAAAACCATCCCTGTGGGGTAACATTTCATAACATGAACGTAAAGCGATTTTAGATTTAATATGTTAACAATATTCTTTTATAGAGTAAAATCAGGCAATGTGAGTAATTTTCCACCATTTTACTATATTAACAACTAAATCACATCATCGAGCGTAAAATTTATTAGATATAACACCCTGTATAATATTGAATACATAAGCTACAACAAGCTGCTTAATCAATAAGGTTCTATCATCCAATTTAAAATTATAAGGTTCTATCATCAGAAAATGAAAAAAATTGAGTTATTAATACCGAAAAATTCTATGAATCTATAAAAAGCTGTAAAAACGAAATCATACACTAAGATCTTGTAATTTCCCTAATATTGGAAAAATTAACTACTTCTATTTACAAATTATAAAAGCTTATATATAGCTTTTTATTTTATTAATTGTTAATTTGACAACATTATTTAAAAAATTTTTATTTGAATAAATGCAAATCAAATAAATTTTGCCGAAATTTTAGAAAAAATATAAAAAATTAGAAATTATGTTAGGATGAAAAGTTTTTTAACCGGTTTATAACCTCACCGGTATTGTATACATAACTTATATATGTATGTGAAGTGACTGCATACCATTCCTCTGTTAATAAGATGCGGATATAAAAATGAATAGCAAAAAATAAAGTAAAAATTAAAATTTCACAAAAAATGGCAGGCAAACTTACCAATCGAGAAATTTTTTTATATTTTTTTTTCTATTATTTAATATCCAAAATAAAATTAATATTTCATAATTTTACGTAATTTGCAGTAATAAAAAACACATTCACTTTTTTTTTACGGTTACTTGCAAAAAGAAAGAAAATTTACCGTTTATTCGTTTTGATTTTTTTTTTCAATACTTTTCTTTTTTTTTTGTATTTTTTTTGTATTTTCTTGTATTTTCTGAGTTTTTAATAAAATTCACATTTATTAAATCTTAAAAAAAAAACTTAAAATCGAAAGCAAATTGTTTTATTTTTTATTTAATTTGAATTTTCAATGAGTATTTAAATTCGAAATTTAATTTTTTTCGGACAATATTTTTGATTTTATATTTATGAACACTTTTAATTTTGTCATTCGAATTTTCTTTTTCGTATATGAAAAATAAAGAAAAGCCTTCATAGAATCATAAATAATTTTAATTTTTCAAATGCTCTTAATGAAATTTTTATTTAATTTTTTAATTAAATTTCATTTCAACACAATGATTTTTACTTTTAATTTAATTTTAGCTTGTAATTTTTAAAATATTCATTCGAATTCACTATTCGAATAAAATATTAGATTTAACCTAGCGGGCAAGAAAAGTACTATTATTATTAATTAAAAAAGTGAGATATTTGGGAGAATTTTGGTTTTATTAAAAAATTCAACAATTAATTACAAATTATAAATTATAAATTTTAATTTAATTCCGCTTTTTAATATTTAATTTTAATATTCAATTTTATTTTACAAATAATTTATAATTTAAAATTTTTATTTAAATTTTTATAAATTTGTAAACTTCTCTATATTAAAATCTTTATTATTATTTAAACACACAGACAAAATTAATAATTTAATAATTGAATTTTTTTTTTTGGAATTTAATTTGTATAAGCTTATTCGAATTTAATAAAAAATATTGAACAATTATCTTATGAAATTCTCACTACTCGATTAATTAACAATGTTAAAGTTAATAACTACTTACTAACTTTTAGTCAACTTAATATGCATGTGTACTTAATCCAAGAGATTCAGTATACTTATATGTATATGTAAATAATAGCGAATATCGTACCTAATTTCAATCAAATATTAAAATTTTAATTTTACCTCTTATTTGAATTTTTTTACAATAAATTATTTCATAATTAATTTTTTTTTTCAAATAAATTGACTATTAATAAATTGTTTTACATATTTATTTCACTCTTAAACAATTTTTAATTCAACTCATTCATTATTTTTATTGTGATAATAATTCATTAAAAATGAAGTAAAAAATATAACGCTAATGAAAACATTTTTAAAAATTTTATCCGCTATTATACTTCTATTCTCTGTGAACGGTTGTCGTTGACTAAAACTGAAAAGCTCTTCTCTTCAATTTCAAGCATATTAAAGTATAAATGGAAATTGAAATGAAAAATTCAATTCAACCGCACTGTTGTAAAACCGAATAAAACCAATGTGTGTGGTGAAAAATTTTAAATGCTAATGTGAATTTATACATTAATGTTATGTTAATTTACTGTTAATTTTATAGTTTTTCTTTCAATTTTCAATTGTATCGAAATATAAATAAAATGTTTGAAATGAAAAATTCAATTCAACCGTACTGTTGTAAAACCAATTTGTGTGGTGAAAAATTTTAAATGCTAATGTGAATTTATACATTAATGTTATGTTAATTTACTGTTAATTTTACAGTTTTTCTTTCAATTTTCAATAGTATTGAAGTACAAATAATATAATTGAAATGGAAAATTCAATTCAACCGCAATATAAATAATGTGTGTGGTGGAAAATTTTAAATGTAAATGTGAATTTATACATTAGTGTTATGTTAATTTACTGTAAATTTTAGATTTGCTTTCAATTTTCAATTGTATCGAAATATAAATAAAATGATTGAAATGAAAAATTCAATTCAATCCCAATGTTAATAAGTTAACATGTGTGGTGAAAAATTTTACAAATAATATTAATACAAAAAACTTAAATGTTATGATTATTTAATTGTAAATTATAGTATCATTTTTGAAATTAAATTGTAATGTATGGGGTAACGGTAAGAATGAATGCATTCGATACACATATTTATAAAACTTTAAAGTATTTATAGTTTCACTTAAAATTGTATTTTTTGTTAAAAAACTGATGGTAAATTTTCCTGTTTTTGTGAAATTAGGATAATATATATATAATCACTTAACAGTGTAAAAAAAATATCCGAAAAGTCTTGGAATATATATAAATTAACAGCATAAGGAGAACATTTTATCTACATATTTTATTAAAGTATTGAACAGGAAAAACTGTAGTATAGAGTGTAGATTCATACATGTAAACGTTTCACTTTTATTTTTTTTATTTGTAAACGTTATAATCCATAAAAAGTAAATACTATTTCTGATAAAGGAGTAAAACGAAAATGATGAATTAAAATGTCACAAAGAAATCGAAAGTATAAATTTTATTGAATCATGTTAAATTGAAATAACATGTTCAAATGAAACGAAAGAAGTTGAATAAAATTGAATATATTTGAAATAAAATTGAATAACAGTAATCACTTTAAATTTTTATGAATAAAATACAGTTATGTAAAAATTTAGAGTGAAATTTATGTTCAATTGTGGTAGAAAATTCATTCATAAATAAATTTTTTATTGCGTTAACTTGATTATATCTATGCATATACTCACACTTTATACATACATACATATATATACATATGTATAATAATTATTGTTTGTTGATAATTTATAATATAAATGTCAATTAATTCAGATGGTATTTTGTTTACTATTGAAAATATTTTAAGGATTTGGGAATCTATTTTTATTTTAACTATTTTGTTATTTTCTTTTTATTAAAATAAATATTATTGTACAATATTTGGTTTTTGGAATTCATTGATTTCTAAAAATAATTTTAAATTTTTATTTTATTTCGGCATATGCATAGAATTACTAAATAATGCAATTTTATTGAATTATAAAATCATTGGTCTATTCTATACATACGAGTATGTATGTAGACAGAATTACGCTTTAGTAGAATAGTATGTGACAGCTGACAGTAAGGGAATTGAAAATATTTCTAACATGTACCACAAGTAGCAACTGTTAATATAAGAACTATTTACTTTAAAAATAGTTTTGGTTTGTTTATTCTGAAAGTCTATTAATTTCAATTTAAAATTAATTTTAATTAATTTTTGAAATTCAAGATCTAAAAATATAAATGCATCTTCATATTTAACTATATTATAAATTGAAACTCAATTAGTTTGTATTGTATGTATAAATAATATATGTATGTATGTATACACAAAAATTCCGTATTGTTATGACTAATGTTATGACATTTAATAAAATTCGTTTTCGCATTTATTCTGGTATTTGCTTATGATAATAATTATTAAAGAAAATGTTAAGAGAAAAATTATGAAGCATACCAAAATGGTTTGGGTATTCAGATTTGATGAGTGATTTGATATAGATAATAATCCACGCACATACATACGTATATATAAAATTTGTATAGGAAAGGTTATTTTATTCGTTTAATGTGGTATAGAAATAATAATGGCAAATTGGTGCTTTGTTAAATTAAAATGTTTGTAATATATTCTGGGCCACAGAAAACGTGCGATAGTGATTGGACTTTCGGAATTCAGATACTCGTAGCACAAACTTCCTCTTACCTTATACGGAATTGAATTTTTTAATATTTATATATGAATTATATATGTATATATTTTATAAGAAATTTATTGTCATATCATTTACACATTTTTATAACGTTGTTTAATTTGATAAAAGGAGCACATTTAAAAAATTAGAAAAGTTTTTGATTTAAATTAATTTAACACACTTGCTCTGCTATACATAGGTTTTGCTCAATTTTCCATTTCTATCCAATCATCTTATGTACTTCTATGTTTTTTCCCTTATTTCTCTTTCTCTATCGCTCTCTCTCACACTCTTTCGAAATAGTTTTTGTTATCGGAAAATGTTGTTAAAAATATTGACCATAAAAATTTTTTTTATACATATTTATTTGTTTATTTGATAAAATTCTTGTTGTGGCTGCCAGTTTCTACAAAATCACGGTAAAAATATACGGAATGCATATAACAAAAAAAAAAAAAAAACTTTTACAACTGTCCTTAACACATTTCAACAAGTATAGAACAAGGTTCTAACTTTTTAATCATTAAAAGTTTCTTTACATGTACATAGTATATACAATATATTTAGAGAAGGATATTTTGTCTGAAAAAAATGATATCTATCTATTTATTTATAAATGTATTCGATTCCTATTAAAATCCCATTGAATAGGATTAAGTTTTAAATGAAAAAGGAAGTGAAAATATAAATTGATTTTCAGTGGGATTTCATTTCATTTCATGATTTAATATAATATAAAATATTATAAAAAAGAAAAGGGAAATCGAGAGAAAATTTTATAAAAGATGTTGAAAAAGAAAAAAATTTCCAAGGAACTCGTACAAACCTTTTATTCTATATATTCGCCTAAAATTATGTCTATTTATATATGTGACTCTGTATAATATGTGTGTGTCAGTAAAATGTGTCAATAAAAGATTAATGTTACTTTTTCTAAAATAAAAGATTTATCTTTCAGTTCGAATGGTTCAAAATATATTTTTGGAAAAATTCTTTTATTTAACATGAAAATATTGCTTTAAAATAAAATTAAAAATCTTATATTTTATTATAAATTTCATCAGCCAAATAAATATGTGATATATGTATGTTTGTATGTTATTCAATGTTATGTACATGACATGTGATTATGTTTTAAATCACAATATATTTAACATTTATTTTAAATGTTATTCAAAATTATAGTTTATTTATTTCTCTAATTCACATAGTTAAGAAGTTGTTCTCGAAAAAAGATAAAGATAAGGGATATTTATTGACTCAATTAAATTTATTTAAGAATTATATAAGAACAATTATCTAAATTGATAAATATATAAAGTTTGCGATATGAGAAAATTTATTTATACTTTTGATGAAATTTTGTTAATAATCGGTAAGTCCAAATTATCAAGAATTTTAATTTGCG